TTGGGAGTTGCTCTCCTAATAACAAAGGGCTTCAATAAAAAAATGCTTGTTTTTGCTGTGTGCAGCACACTGCGTTTCTGTTTTATGTGCCCTCGTCGTCCTGGAGGACGGGCCGGGCGTCTGTTGTCAGGTGGTCATGAAAGAACCCAAGCCCGTCGGCAGGGCAAGGTTGTCGAAACTCGATATCGGTGTCGAAGGTGTCACGGGCACGGCTACATCATAACCGGTTTGCTTGCACAGCCATCAACCGACAGCCCTTCCGGTGTCAGCTCCGAGACACATCTCGCCGACTCCGATCGCCGAGACACAGCACTTTCAAAACTCAGTAGGAATGGTCGAATCAAGCGATGAACTGTCTGAACCTAAGGACGAACCAAGGGAGCAGCCACTCAAAACCCAAGCAGGTAGGATAAATCCTATGTTTATCAAAGCGGCGAAAAGACCAAACAGGATCGATCATGACTAACTCAAACTGAAACCTCCACAGATTTGGTTATTCGGAAATTCGAACGACTGGACCTCTACAATTTCGCCTCGCCAACTGATACTCCTATAGATATCTCTATCGAACGATTGAGGTCGAAACAAGATCTCCTAACTCGTTTGTGCTCAAGCATTCTACCTCAAATCCAACATCAATGCGCCCGTCTGTCTAGATTGTTGCAGGAGCCAACCCACTTGCATAACAACCCGGCCTCAACGCTCAAGCTCATCTGGGAGATCCAACTCAACCTCGAGCTGACTTTGGGCCAAATGATCCAGACGCTCGATGAAATCTTTCCCGGAAGAGTCCCCGAACCTTACCAGAAACGTGACCAACGGTTCAATGAGCTAAAAATCTATAGACTCCATAGGCTTAATTCTTCTCTCAGAGTAGATTTGAAAAGTCGGCTCAGAATTTTATTTCAAAATTCTATCAAACTCATTGAAGATTTCAAGCTCCCAGTAGCGGAAAGACGTCATGTAATCGGGTTCGCAGATTTGGGAATCAACAGGAAGATCGAATTAGCCATCAAGTATGTCAAAGGATCTGAATTAAGCTTGATATGGGAGCTTTGGAAGGATGGGATCAACAGCTTGAGTCGTCAAGTGGCCGTACTATTACGTCAGATGGACCCGATAAGAGCCTTACATCCAAAGGGCGAAAGTCTCTTGAGTCAACCAGCTATCAAACTCGGTCGATCAGTCCTCCCAATCTTCAAATTATCCAGACTTTTTTTCAAGAAATTATATCGAGAAAATGTCAAGCTGGAAGAAGTAGAATTATTCACAGAGATGTGCTCTCATCAATTGTTTTGCTTGCATTCATCGATCGAAGACATCATTGAATCGATTTCGATGTTATCGTTTTCTATAAGAGATGCTGATCGACTTGCCCCTGGCGATACTTGTCCGGCTATCATCCAAGAACTCAACAAACTCATCGAATTATTCCAACCTCATCTCTCTCTGATCAACCTCTACGTTCTTCCTAATATGTTCCCAAATCACACAGGTTTGTCTCATCAAATTGACTTCCAAAATTGGGTTGTTACTTGGAACGATTCCTTTCTTTTAGCTACTCATAACGCGTTCCAAGCTGTTCAATCATTTGCAGATACTTGATTCTTTTTGTTGGTTGTTTCAAATATATACATATATATATATTTCTGCAGTTATTTTGTAATACTATGCTCATCACTGTCCCAAGACTGCAGTAATTTTCAAGGTGTCTAGTGAGTAAATTTTGTATCCTATCAACAAAAACCTTCCAAACTTGCAAGATGTATGGCAAGTTGCACACTATCAAATCTCTCTTGAATCTTGATTAATGTTTTTCATTTTCTCAATGGAAGGTGAAATGGGTACAGTGTGGTGTTTTGAAGAGCCAAGAAGAGGTTGAACACCTAACTCACTGTGAGAAATTACAATTAATGAGGAATGGTAGCACACCTTTTGATAAAGAGCTAACAATATAGGTGGGACTCCCAGATAGCTGAGCCTGAGATGAGGAATGAGAAAGAGTTTTAATTTCATTGTTGTGAGACATTATTTGCTATCTTGAGCTGGTACATGTTAATTCAACTCACTACCATCTCTGCCATACCATACTTGGTCAAGTGTGCCAAGAACCCCCTTTTATTATGGGACAAGTTTGCACTTGGGTAGGAAAGGGGGGGGGGCACTACAGTGGTGCAACCCATGTTACTGTACACCATCACCAGCAAAATAAAAATTAGGCCCACCAGCCTAATTTTTGTAGGCACTTGTCCATCACCCATTTTTATTGCAGATTTGGGCTTCCTTAGGGCTGTAGATTCCACAGATAAAAGGGCTAAGCCCCCACTGCTCCAACAAAAAAGGGTTTTTTTTTTTATTTGGAGTCCACATTTTGGAAGCCATGGCATGGGCTTAGATGCCCCTACAGTCCCATTTTCATGTACTTGACTCTGATAACCCATAAGTATGGCTTCTCCTACCCAAGCTATATGCATGAATTACAACCTAGATTGAATTTTTGTTGCTGCCAAACATGCTAAATTGACTCTGGGCATAATCTTTTCCACACAAATGGCAAAAATTGCACCCTTTTTTAAATTTCCAAGCCCCAAAACCTAAATTTTCCTCGGATCCTGCCCTTCCCAGGGCAGATTTTCTTGATTTTTTCCTTCAAACATTTTGGAACCCCCAAATCCATGTAGGGTGGGTTGCGCCACTGTAATCTTCATCATCTGTTTCATGTATTGTCCATTATTTATGTTTGCTTTTGGAAAGGTGCCTGAACTGATAACATTGAAACAAAAGTTGATTATTTTTTCTTTTGCTAAGAATTGTTGATTTTTTTTTGGTAAAAAGAAGCAAGATCTGCTGCTGCTGAAGATCAAGATGAGAAATATTTTCCAATGGAAAAGATGTACTCAAAAAGTGGGCACATTAAGCTTCAAACTAAAATGTACACAATCCAGTTCAACTGAAAAATTCAAATCTTGTTCTGCAAGGTCCCAATACATCAGTCCTCATTTCACAATCAGCAAGATGCAACCAGTCCCTAGGGGTGGGCGCAATTTCTTTTTCCCTCCCATGAGCAAGGTTGAAAGTCTTTGGCCACCAGAAGCCAATTCACCTGGTCCATATCATGAAGCACATTGGTATGGTTTGCTGTTTTCATACTGTTTTGGTTTGTTTACTAGGTTGTAAAACTTCCAAAAATTTCACCTGGGGTGAAGTCTGGGTTTATGTCATGTGCTTACACAGATCAATGGATGACTTCCCGTTGCGGTTTACAACCCTCCCAGAATTTGATTTACACCCCCAAGATCTTAATTTTTGATATAAAAAAATTTTTTTTCATAAGCCTTGGGAAGATGGCTCTCACGTGAGCTGGTTGGAATTATGATTGAGGTGTAAATTTAGGACTGGGGAGTGCTTAAAAAGCACTCTAAATGGCGACGGGAAGTCCTCCAGCCTTGTTATTAGTTTTGTTCTGGTTTTGTTTAGGGC